GAAGAGCCTTGGTATACAGTTTTTGCTTCTCCAGATTGAGAAGTCGCAGCTGCGACGGCTCGGGCATGTGTTGCGAATGCCTCTAGAATGGAAGGCTAGGCAACTGTTCCTTGCAAATCCGGCTGTCAAAAGGCCCAGAAGACGGCCAGGGGTGCAAATATATATAAGGAGTCGGTTCCAGACTCCATTTTTTCCCCGAAGCTCGGACTCTGGCACAGGATCAGGAACGTTGGAAGCTCTGTCTGACTCCGCAACCCGAGAGGAGAAGCGACAATGGAAGATGAAGACGACTAATCTCTAAGTAATTAGTTCACTGGTGTTAAAAGAATGTTCTTAAGGCATATTTGCCTCTTTATTGGTATTTTCACCAGTCACTTATTGAGCTTGAAACGGAAATCCTAAAACTCTGCCATATAGTTTATAAAATCTTTGAGTATTTTAGTAATTTGGATATTCATCGGAAACATATTTACTTTATATGTATCGTTCCAGTTAGAGCATATATGCACCATTAAAAACGGGAGCAAGATGGTTTGTGACCCCGTTATCGAGCACAACAAGTCGCTGAAGGTTTCAATGGAATATGTGTAACACGGCTAGTAACTACGAACTGCTGCAACATTTTATTATCCGCTTATTTTTCCGTACAAACCTGTAAGAAAAATAAATTATTTCATGTATCGACATTGTTACAATACGAGACATGAGAAGCTTTTGCATAATAATACAGAAATTCTAATTTAAGCGTAGGTTTACTTTTAAACAATAAAAGTTTTTAATTTGTGGTAGCTGTTTTGTGAAAGTGTTATGTTTGCATCATTACTTGCTATCCACCATTTTCTGCGCCTGCTTTACCTGCAAATCTTTCGAAAAATTACGGTTGTCCGCCTTTGAAAAGACATATTAGAGCTTTATAGGGAATTCTTAACTTAAATAATGCTAGAATATCTGCAGTAACCACTGCTGCTTCCATTGCGTTTGAAACAAAATAACAGTGTGGCCACGACAAATTACCACTAACGTTTCTGCTTCATAATTTTAAGTTTTATGAAGGCTACTGATATTTGAATTCCCAGTGGGTATTTTTCGTCGACTGTTTTTCGATACTCTTGAATATGAAAGTGGTGACGTTTTTTGAAGTAAAGGTTGAGTGAATTTTAGTCTTGCGTTTGAATTAACTGAACTGGAAGATTTACGATTTTCTTGCGTAGAATCAAAATTAAGCTGCGAAATCAACCCTTTTATCGAGTTTTATAGTACTTGATAAAGAAGGAAGATGTGCTCGTTTATATGCGGAAATACTGACGATGCGGACACTAACGCGAATCGAAATCAGGCCAGCTGAATTCGGCGCTCACAAGTAAAACAAGGTGATATAAGTATGCGGTTGAAGTAGATGGATTTAACAAAGTAATTTTTAAGAATTACGAGCAAAACCGTATGCGATGAAGGTGATTTGTCGTCGAATGCATAGTAGACACGACGCGGCGGATGACACCCTTGTCGAAAGACTGTTCACGGATGAAGGCGATCAAGTATGCAGCGGTTCCGAGACGATTTCGTCTTCTTTAGCCGGAAATGTTGACATCATGCCTAACAATTCCGCCACAGTCGAGGGTGATCATAGCTTTCATCTGCAAACCCCCAACACCTATACCGAGGACTGCCAGGATCCCCGTTTGACGGCAACTGCTGCACGACCTACCGAAACTGATGAAGCGATTGATTCCGACGTTAGCGTTGGCACTGATGACCACCAGGGCGAATCGGATGCAATTGGCTTCATTCCAGCTGAGGATGGTGACTTTTCCAGAAGTGATCAGTTCATGGCCACTGAGAACAACCAGAATTTTATTCCCGATATGAGTGCTTTAGGCCAGACGGAGGACAGTGGGGAAGACTCTGATCAAGAAGCTGCAGCACCCAATGGTAGTTAAAAATATGATTTGTTTCTTGTATAAAAGTATGCATGTATGCATGATATTTGTTAAATTATATTATATGTGATA